TCCGTCCCCGGCGCTGGGGGGAGGCTGCTGGGGGCTCTGTGACCTGCTCCCTTCCACACGCAGTTTCCTGTCGAGGAACCCAGGCCCGCGAGCGCTCCTTACCGCGGACCCGTCGCCGTTACTCTGCGGCCTCCCGTTGAGGCACTTACGGTAAACTACGGAATAACGTCGAGTTTAGAATTTATCACTGCTGAATTCATATGGAAAGACTCATTGCTGACGCTTCTTTATTGACAAATAAAATAGTTCTTTGAGATGTGGCAAAGCAGGCGCCGTGTCCCCTTGCCACGCACTTCACTGATGTTCTTCGTTACTAAATTTAGTGTTTTGTGGCTTTCCAGAGAAGTGTGTGGGTTAGCTGCATGGCTCCTTCCTTCACTGAGTTTCCAAGTTCCTCCGTTGAATTTGGGGGATTTCCCTGGCATAGCTGCAGCCCCTACATTATGTTTGTGTGTCTGGGCTGCTGCCTTCTCGCGTGGACGCAGGAGTCTCATGTTCTGCGGAGATGGCACTTGTGGGCCGAGTCCAGGGCGGGCAGCGTTGGCGGGATTCGTGTTTCCTCTTCGCTTTATCCCTCTCACTTGTTTTAAATACAGCCCTGCTTTGGATGTGGTCCTGTGGAGACTTAGCCACAGGACCTCTTAATTCAGTGTAAAGGAAGCTGCCGTACATAGGTTAGTACCATTCATGAATTCTGCACTGTGTGTTTTCTTTGGTCACCAGCTCTGAGGTTTTGGGTTGCTTTTTAGAAGTGGCTTGACTTATGTAAGCAGATGGAAGGTGCGTGAAACGAAATGCTGGCAGAAATAAGCTGTAAAAAGCAGATGTAAAAAAACATCTACTGCTGTTCTCTGGTAGTTCTTTGCGCCCTGTCACTCCAGTCTCCATGACTGGGGCCTGTCCGTGTCCCTGTAGAGGCTGCCTGCACCTCGGCCTTCCCGGGTTGGGCTTTTTAACCAAGGGTCTGGGGGCTGTTGCTCTGCAGGGTGAGGAGGGAGAGCTGAGAATGCAGCAGGGTGGGTGGAAGCTCCGCTCTTGGTTGGGAGGTGCTCGTCAGTACGTAACGCCTGTGCCAGCAGCGTTTGCCTTGGGGTTTCTGTGCTTAGTTGTTGGACATTTTGCTGATTGTCCCTGAGTATCTGTGGTGTTAACGGGGTCCCCCACGTTCTCTCTCTCTTCAGCTCCTTGCTCGCTCTGTTTCCTGCTTGAAAAATAACAGCTGGGAGCCGAGCGCGCCGGGCGGCGCAGCAGGTTGCGAGACTGAAATAGAATCAAGAGTCTGGGCCTGCAACAGGACCTAATAGCGGATAGGGGCCCTATTCTGTCCCCCTGCTTTCTGGAGGTTGTTTTCTAACTCCGTACAGCAACGGCCGTTCCCAGGACGGGGAGCCTGGGCGCTCTGTTCCGCATGGCTCCCTGAGCTGCTAAGGTCCCCGCGCCGCTGGCTCGGCGTCTAAGAACCTCCTGGGTTTGATGCATTTAAATACTGCCCCATCCAATTTCCTGGAGGCTGCCTGTGTGTAAGTGAAAAAGAGGATCTCATGTTGAGACATAAAGAAAAGACTGTAAACTCACACCCTTGGTTTCCTGTGCTCAGGTGCAGTGTACTTAATGTGTGTTCCTTGAAAGCTTTGGATAATCAAATTAGTTACAAAACTTATGTGTTTTTGTGACAGCAAGAGAAAGTAGTCCAAATCTGTATGACTGCTATCCACATGACCAGAATCTTTTTCTATTTTTCCTGCATTTTCAAGTTAGTAAATAAAATGATGTGAATACCACCAGAAGAATTACTTTCCGCTCCCAAGATTCACTCTCCTGTCTTGCTTTCAGGTATCTTGGAATTTTTTCACCATCAGCTGAAGGACATTGTTGAATACGCAGAGCTGAAGACCGTGTGTTTCCAGAACCTGCGGGAGGTGGGGAACGCTGTGCTCTTCTGCCTGCTCATTGAACAGAGCCTGGTAGGTGCTGCGTTAAAACCACACGGCGTCTCAGAGAGGGCTCCTGGTTTTTGGTCCCCAGCGTTGCGAGTAGCAGGGGCGGCACAGTCAGGTTTGCTCGTGGAGATGTACGGATGGCTGAGGAAACCGTCCCCGCTGAGCAGCCTCCTGCAGCCTCCCACGGGCTCTGGATTCTCCTGGAGGCTGCAGCCTCCTGCCGGCCCCCTCTTCCCTGGTTCCTTATCTTCTTGGGCTGCCTGCGCCCTGTCTGAAGTGTCCCAGGGAAGAGGGGCAGCCGGGAGCTGATGGCAGGTTACCTGTCCTGCAGGGCCAGGCCCGCAGCTGGGCCGGCCGGTACCTGCAGCGCAGGGAAGGGGACATGTGTGGGCAGTGGAGACTCAGCTAATAGCATCTCTGCACGCGCCCTTCCAGGATGCAGCAAATCTTTACGTTGTTTTTCCTGTTGCTGTAGCGGAGGGGGTGTGGGTGTGGAGCCCCCTGCTTCCACCGGGCTGCTGCCCTCGCGCTCTCGTAGTTGCCCTCCTATATGCCCCTCAGTATTCTTCTCTACAGTTTTAGGCATTCCCAACATGACTGATTTGCCCTCCCCTGCCTTCCTTTCAGCCCCACCAAGGGTGACAGCGGGGCTCCTGTCACCGAGTTGTGCCTCCGTTGCGGGACCCTCCCAGCCCGGCTCGTCCCACCCCGTCAGGTTGTCCCCTGAGCCTTGGCAGAGCTCACGGGGATTTCCTGGGTCTCCCCGTTCCCAGGAGGGTGCCTGCTGCTGGCGGCTGTTGTGCCAGGCCTGCAGCATCTCCC